TCTGGCAACCAACACCCAGAAAAGTTGAAACTTTTTGTTCAAACTGCTTTAAAATGTGCAGATCCATCTAATCACCACTTTCACTTTATTTAACGAAGCTGCTTTAACAAAATGTGTCAGCGTGTTTGGCATTTTTAACAGCAACACCATAAGTCAAAGAGTAAAAATGTACATTATGTAACAAGAATCCGGAATAAGGTCGATGAATCTGAATCGATCGTTTCGTATTAAAGCGTCCTACCACTACCACACACTTAATCTAAATGTGCCTGTCCACTATGAAACATTTCGATCAGAAATGGACTCACCTTAAAGTGTTTGCGGAATAAATACACTAACTTCCACAGTTTCTCTTCCTATTGGTCATGTGGCTCTCATGTTACAGAGGAAGGCACACCCAGTCAGACAGAGATACACAAAAAAGCAACGGGTGGAGGAGAAAACGTTGTGAGCACAATAGGCTGTGGCTGTGGCGTATTACAGAGTAACCTCCACCCATTTGATAAACAGTCTCACGTTATTAAAGGACTATAACTGTTGCGGAACTTCAGGGCCTTTATGACTTTGTTCTGAGCACAGTCTGTGGTGCTGAGTTCAAATACAGGCAGGAGAACAATGCTTCTTTATTTTGTTGTACTACTCAGAACGTGATTTTAAATCTCGAAGTAATGATGACCAATGATGGCAAAACTATTAATATTTTTTGTTTATTACAAATCAAAGTAATATATACATTTGTATCTGATAAAGCTTGTGGGCTTAGGCTTTTAGAGGTTTGTACTGCAGCACTAGATTGCACCAAAAGCAGCATAACAGGTAAAATGTATTTTTCTTAACAAACATTTATGTCAAGGAGTGGGCAATATGAATAACATACTCTATAGTATATTTAATTTATTTCTATTCTGATCATATAAATTCTATATTTTTGGGGACACCAATCAAACTAAATATACTTGACAAAACAATCTCAGTTGAATGGCCACGTGCTCAGTTGTTCTCAAGCCTTTAACCATATCACACTGCCTCCATCAACAGATGCTTTTTTTGCTCAAGAGTTTTACAAGAGAATAGATGCCTCTTTAGTGTGTCTTTTAAATATTAAGGCAAAACAAGGAGATGGTTAGCTTAGCTTAGCATTAAAGACAGGAAACAAGTGGAAACAGCTCTGTGCTAAGATAAGCTAACCAGCTGTTGGCTGCAGCTTCATATTTTACAGACAAGAGTGGTATCTATCATCTCATCTTACTCAACAAGGAAGTGAATAAGCACATTTCCCAAACTGGTGAACTATTCCCTCAAATGTTGAGTCTGGTAGCTTGTTTTTAAGAATTTAACAAAACAGTTTCAAATGATTGTTCACATACTTGCATGTTCTAAAGCTTTTGAAGCTCAAAGTAACCAATATTTTGGGGTAATCTAAGATTACAAATATAAGTTATCACATTAATGCAAAAATCACATAAAAATCTAATAATTCCAAATAGCAGTCCTGCTAATTGGTTTTCAACATTGCCCACAATGATTCAATACAGAGATAATTAAGGTACTAAAGAGGAAGAATACCTTGGTATGACTGTATATTGTCATGTCACCCACCCCTATGTGGACAGAATCATTTTATGATTCATAACGCTCAGTCAAAGTAGGAGATGTATGGCTCTACACCCCGAAACTGCTGTATCATCAACATATATGTATACTGTATGTATAAGAACAAAAACCATTAAACGTACTGTAAGTCAATAAATCACATACCAGAACCCAGATCGATCAGATTATGCATCAATATACACAAGATTTAGGAATATTGTTTGTATAGCATGGATATTTTTCTAGGTGTCTGGTAAAGACATTCACGAATGTATTTGTAGCTTGATTCTATCTGTATGCAGCCACAGTTTACGTTTCTCTGTGAGTCTACTCAGGGTGGATACACAGGTAGGCTCTTTTGTGTTTTCCAAAGTAGTAACAATCCTCATGGAAGTTGTTGGTCTCCACCACCTCCTTGTAATGACTGACAGCATGAACCAGGCAGTTGGGGAAGCTCTTGTTCAAAGCCAGAGCGACTGCCATCATGTCTCCCTTCAGCTTCTGCCGCTCTATCTGCTCATGGATCTGACTCTTAGAAATGGGCTTGGGGTTGACACAGAAAGAGACCACCACTTTGATCTTGTTCTTGGTCAAAAGGTCAAACCAGTTGGCTCCTCCACTTCCATGGTACTTCTTTCCTGCCAGCCAGTTGAAAAAGAAAATGCGCTCCCTGTCGCCGAAGGCCCTGATGGACCAGTTCACCCAGTCGTATTTCTTAACAAGTGACTCCAGAAGGGTTTTGGTGAATTCTTGGTCGACAGTGCCAGGATTCTCCAGAACCTGTTGCTCCATGTCCAGCTTGGCTTGTTTGGCAAAGTTTTCTGTACAGTCATCCACAGCTGCCTTCATTCGTTTCTCCACATCCTCCATTCGTGCCTGCCACTTCTTCACCATCTCCTCACCGACTGCTCCTTCCTTGAGAGCAGCATGACCCATGACAGCGATAATGCCCACCACAAAAAGCTTCTTCAGGCGGGCACAGAAATCCTCAACTGCCCGTCTGCTTCTCTGCTCTGTGGCCACCACTGTTTCCAGAACAGGGTCTCCTGACATGTTCTCCCCAGTTACAGCATTGTAGAGGGCGTCCAAGTTCAAGTCGCCATCTGTGTTCTCATAATGGCTAAGGAACTTCTCCATCTTCTTCTCCCTGAACTTTGGCTTGGCATTGACAAAGTCCTGGAACTTTTCATACTGGCTGAGCATCTGCGCCTCTCGATCAAAGTTCTGCTTGTTCATTGATGTCTTCTGCATTTCCAGGGCAATTTTATCAATCTCATCTTGAATTCCCTCAAGTTTTTGGCTGACCAGCTCAAACTGTTGGGACAGGTAGCGAGCCTCTTTGCCCTCTGGGTTGTTGAGTAGCTCGGCTGAAGCCATGAACACGGCCTCCAGCACAGGGTGAAGCTGGCCCACAGTGGCAGCTAGCACCTCGGAGGCTTGCCCCATGATCTCCACACCTTTCTCGATCTTGTCCCTGTTCTGCACGAGCCAATCTGCCACGCTGTTCATCTTTGTTTTATGTCTTTCTCACTAACTAATTTGTTTTCCGCAGCCAAAGACTGCTGGTATCTGAAAGAAGAAAAAAAAACAAAACGCCCCTGTTCAGTAAAGTGTGATTTTATGACAATTCAGAAAAAATATCACTTTTTTTATTTTTAGTCAAATTTGGCAAAGAAATGAAAAACTGCTGATGTGAAGCCATTTCTTCCTTACAGGACTTTTTCCTGATAAACAAAACCCTACAATAAAGCAAATGGCAGGCCGTGTCAGCACATGTAGGCATCCAGTTTCATGCCGCACCCTCAGAGCCTCAGTAAATGACAGGGACGTTTTAATCCTTGGTGGCACTGACTCAAATCAAAAAGCTCATAAAAGTACACAAATGAGGAACACATACCAAGCAAATATCAAACATGGTATGTGTACTCATGAATTATCATGTGAAACATTGTGCAACATTGCACCACTGGCTCTTGGGGATGTCATTTTTTAAATAACTGTTCTAACAATATCCAAGACCCAAAGCAAGCACAGATGTTCACAACATGGGAAAAAGGGGATTTATTTTGGTAACGATAGCAAGGTTTACAAATTAAACTACTCAAGAGAGATGACCTAACTCACTGCTTGTTCCCTGGAGCCCATATCCAGTTCAGAAAAAGGCACACCCAGGTCTGAGAGAAGAAAATCCCCACCACTGCACTTGTTCAATAATGCAATCACGCTTTCATCCTCATTACAGGCTCAAGATAATTAAAACCAAAAACATACAAATTTTCTGTTATTTGAGGGTTTGGTATGCAAAAAAAGACAAATAGAAGTTTATGTGTTTAAACACAGAGCACAGACTGACTAATAATTGCTGCAGTGATGAGATCAGTGGTGTCATTTTACAGCCTTTCCTATCACTGCACTAATTAGATTTACTTTATTCAGTCACATGCCATCAGAGATTTTACAAGTAAACTCAGGTAAATCAGTTGATGAAAAGTAACAAAAAGTGCAATATTCAAACACTGAATTTATAATTAGATATTAGATAACGGACTTAAATTTTATTCTAAGGGGGAAAATAACAGTGAAAGAAAATACTTACTGAGTACTTATCTTGATTTGTGCTCGGAAGTATCTTCCCTTGTAAAACCAAAAAAAGTTTGTCTTCTTTTAACACCAAAAGTGAAATATATTTCTGTGAAAGGAAAAAAGGCGAGTCCCACACAACACTTGATCAAACACTGGTCTCCCTTTTCAGTGTGATATGCTTTCCTACAGAGCTGCACAGCTTTAATGGAGACCACATACGCAAGTCTTTAACAAGGCCACATCCCCCAAAGAACTCCTTTCTACCTCTGGCATGTCACTTCTCTTTTTCAGTCCAGAAAAAAAACCCATTTAACTTTAAAAAAAAACAGAGGACTTTGAAAAATCCAGCTCTTCAAAGTTTTTAGTCAAATTCATCTTCAATAATGGTGAAAATGCTGAAAAGACAAAACAAAACACTTCTTTCTGGGTTTTTTTTCTCTTTGGTGGGGGGTGTCCTTTTTTTGTTTATGACATTTTATAGAAAACTAAAAATAACTGTAAAGTGGTGAGGTAAATGACAAAATGATGCTTAAATTAAGAGTAAGGAAAGAAGAAGAAGAAGAAAACCTCACCTTTCTAGCTAAATATCCAGTGGGCTAGAGTCCAGTGAACCAGTAGTCCAGCTGTGCCTATGAGCACCAGCCTCTTTGGGATGTATATATAAGCTGTCTCTCTCTCTCTTTCTCTCTTCCTCTCTCACCCTCTCCCAGTATCTGTCTGCTTCTCTTTCTCGTCACTCCCCCTTTGGAAGTTCTCCATTCCCTTCCAGCATTCCTCAGAAGCCCACTCAGAGAGATGAGGGGCCGGCACAGACACAGATAACATCCTGTCAACACGCTCCATGCAGGGACACCATGTCCCCAGGGATTATAAAACAAATGTATATATTAATATATAAACTGTTTTCTGTAGTGTTTGTGTGTGTGTGTGTGTGTGTGTGTGTGTGTGTGTGCGCGCGCGTGTGTGCGCATGTGCGTGTGCGTGTGTGGGAAAAAAGAGACAAAGAGAGTGAGAACGGGAATGAAAAGAAAACCAGCCACAGTAGGGCTCTGCAAAGTGGCATATCAGGACAAAACCCCTCTTGTTGTGGCTCGAACAAGGTTGCCATGGCCACTGCACTGGTTCCTCCAACTTCTATGAGACTGCTCATGCATCAAAACCAAATTCAGCAGTTTGTGTTTGCAGCAATTTAGGATTCACAGCAAATTAGCACATTACATAATGCAGAACTACAGGCTACATACTAGTTTAAAAAAAAGACAGCTGAGGTGATTCAATAAAAAACTGTCATGCTTTACTCTGATTCTGACAATTAGTCATGAAAAATTATTGGTCACTGGATTCAAGAATTGCAAAATGGGGTGACATAATCCCTGCAGGGTCATCACACTTGGAATCACTCAGTCACAGTGACAAGCAGTGAAAGACTGTCTGTGTTTCAGAGCACACACCAGGACAGTCAGACCTCACTCGTGGTCTTTGTATCAAAGCAGGCTGTGATACACGCAGCCCTGCGTCACTGTCGACTTTTTAATGGATCATAAAGAGGCGGGAACAGGAAGAAGAGAGAAGGATGTCTGCAGTAAATTGATGCTGGTCAGCTGGGTAGAGAATGTTCACTACCGCCTTGTTCCTGTGTTGTCCCACTGTCAGAACTCACACTTTATTTGCTTGCTGCCACCAGAAAGTCTATTTTGCAGGGACTCAACAGTATGGGTGTGATGGGTGTGATGGGTGTGATGGGTGGTACGGGTCGATGCTGGCGCATACACACTTTAGAGGCCAGAGTGTGATGTCACTCAGCTGGAAGACGTCGCTTGTTCTCTGTGGGTGTTGTGCAGGGTTTGTATCCCAGGCAAACATTTCTAAAGAGCTGCATTTCTTTCATGTGTCTGAAGAACATACACACAATGTCCCCACATTTGGAGCTTGTAACTGAACAAACAACATGGCCTATTAAAGACTCTCTGGGTGCAGCATCAATGGAAAGTGTTGGATTATAGAAAAGTTTTACCTTTGTTGTTTTGTGGTTTCAGGTGCAGCTTTGAATCTGATGATATCCCCAAAAGTATAAATATATGCACTTATTCTATATAACAGGATGTTCAGAATCTAAGTGTAACTTTTATTTATTGCTGTTGATTAATATTTGCATCGACAAAACAGGAATGTGAAAAGCCACTGGACTGTTTTGCCTATTTGTTGTAGTTGCATTGTGTTCTATTCATTACAAATGATGAAATTAGGCTTTTTAATGACTTGTATGACAATAACTCCCATGATAAAATACAGTCACAAAGGTTATGCTGTTGCTGTTTGTGTATAGCAGCTGAAATGATAAATGGCTTCCTTGTCCGCTGCAGCTCTTGACCACATTTTATCTTTGTGACCTTGACCAATTCCTAGTGTTTGCCCCTCACCACAAGATGTCTCCTCAGCTCACAGGAAGAGCTCCCAGCAGCTCATCCCATGGAAGAATATACACAGCATTTTCTGGAAAGGGTGGGTGTTTGAGAACACTAAAGTAAAACAAGACAACACACTTATACATAAGAGAAGATTTACATCATAGAATGTCACAAATAATAAGGCAGAAAGAGACGAAGACACATGATCAGAGACAGAACTTGACAGAAGACGGTAAAGATGCTAAGCCTGAAATTCAAGACTTAATGTTGGCAGACCTTTAAACAGAGCCATGAAAAATGTTGATGATCGACTTAGACCAGGATACGCTGCCAATCTATTGTACTTTGCACGAACTGTAAAACTTAATTGGTTTTGTAAACCTTTTTGCTTGAACCACCCAGTTTTCTTAAAGAGTCAAAAATCAATAAGCCACAGTCACAAAAACAGAAACAATGAGTGCTTACGAACATTTGCTCTGGTGTTCTCTACATCCACAGTATTACATCAGTGTATCAAAGGATTGCTTCATAAATAGAAAGTTATTACTGGGAAAGACAGGGATTTAGTACCATCATGCTTGATCTGGTTGGCTCCCATGGGAAAATAAATGTGGGCAGCCCTAACAGGTTCTTTGAATGCAGCTCAACCGTACAAATGAAAATGGTTTCCTGGTGTAGTACATACCTAATTGTGGGATATTGCCAGAGGCCTTATACAGCAGACAGAAAGTTGGTCTGTGCCTACACTATCACCTTGAAACTGCATTTATTCGAATGGCAGGAGGGAATGAAAAAATGCTGAAATGAAAACACTGGTTTGTAAGCATCAGTGCAGCATGTAATTCTTTTAATCCCACAGTCTAGTTTGCTGGAAAGATACTGTAACTCCACACACAGAGTGACATTTGTTTTTATGTCAGGCTAGGACTTAGTACTGCAACCTGTCTTCCTCATGAATGTGAGGCCTGTATTTGGTTTGGGAGTAGTGTCAGTTTATCTCAGTGCTATGCATTTATTGTGCTGACTTCTGGGTGGGGCTCGCACATCTCCAGTTTAAAAATCAGTTCAGGTTTGCAACACTTTCATGGTGCATCTGAGCTTATGGAGAGTTAGGATTCCTAGACTTCACCCCGAGTTGGCTGAGGAAGTTTCTTTTGTATGGGTTTCTGTTAGCTGTGTGACTTGTTCTATAATCAGTGATGTATTGTGAATTGCCTGTTCAACTGTTATTAGGTTCAATTTCTCAACAGCAACAATTGTTTAAATATTTCAGTTTGAACCAAGGTGGTGGACTGACTGGCATTGACATTCCTAGAGCCATGTAGCCAAAATATCCAGTTAGCACACAGACACAATCGTCATAATGAGACAGTAATTTCACCAGTATAAGTTCCTCTTTGAATATTTTGCCTTCAGGGGATTTTCATGATGAAGTAACCCACACAGTCAGCAATGTATTTTCAGAGGAATGTTCAAGGTTTGTTTTGAAGATGATGTGTTCATTTTGAGTAACAGTGGCTTTCCCCCTCCAGATGTTTCCAGGTCACAGAGAACGAGGCATTTGGTGACAGACTAAAGCATCATTCTGTCTAGGGACATCAATGGTGGGCAGGGACAGAGGAAAATGGCTTCTTTAGTTTATTTCAAGGCTGGTTTAATGGAAACTAAAAATGACAGAACTGCTATCAGTTCCTGTTTGCTGATTGTTTGCTGCTTATCTTGTGCTGTAATTTGAGCAGTCAGTATAAAGTTCTTGTTTAAAAGACAACTTCTTTTTGAGGGAGTTTTACCCAAAGATTGCTTGGTTATGGTTGAATTGGCACTTTTAAAAGAAGAGAAATTAACTTTAATGTCAGGCAGACACAGCTTCAGTGTTTTAGTAATGAGCAGACCACTACTTTGTCACTTATCTCTTCCTAGCCCTGTTTTTTTATTAGGTTGCTGTGTACAGTTTGCTCATGTTTCATAACACACCTGAACTTTGACCAGTCTGAGTCACTTACCAACAGCTATATGCACAACAGTGACTCCAGCAGTGAAAGGCCAACAGTTTGCCTCGATACAAGCTCATCTGCCTCTCACACAGATCAATACAAACTCGGGTTAGATCTGAAGAAACAAATGAAGGTTCAGAGGCTGAGAGAAGCCAGCTTATTGATTTCAGACAAATTCATCCTAGTGTATCTTTGCCCTACACAAATGAGTCAAACCACCTTCAAGCTCCATGTAAATTGGAAATCCAGTTACTCATGCTGGCAGGCATTTTGTTTAATCATATTGTTGTACTCCTGATTTACTGAAAGCCTCAAACAAAGGTCAGTATGCTCTATTTTTATCTCAATCGGCACAGGTAAACTAATTTAAGATTATATTAATAAAGATAATGCTAGACTATTTTTGAATCAGTTTATTTCCACAATTGAAACTGGTCATTTTACTGTTTGTGGCCATTGCATGCCACCATTTTGTCCATTATGTACAAGAAGCAGCTTTGTAGCACTGACTTTAGACCTGGAATGCAGAAATGACACAAGAAAACACTTGTGAATCTTTTGGAAAAATAAACACAATCACATCCATTTTAGTATGTAGGAACTGCTGCAAGTAAAAGGGAAAGTACTGCAGTGAATGGAGCATGTTTTAAATAGCAGATCAATATGGCAATTACAACTGTCATTTACTAATGGTTTTGTGCACAAGCAAATAAGCCTGGGGCACTATTTATATTCTAGAGGGGAAACTCGCACAACCGATCTGAATTTTGAGATTGCACATTATCGGCCCTCAGCTTTATTCTAAAATTATAGTCCCTTTACAAACAACCCACACTGTGTTAGCTACAGAGTAGGCACATAAGTAGAGACAGTACACAAAGATTCATATTACATAGTTTAAATAATTGAATGCAGGAGCTGCTTCTTCAAAACTAATGCCAGATTTAACTGTTGTTCCTTTCCTCTCACATCCAACAGCCTTCAGTCTGATTAAAACCTTTTTATATTCATTCACAAACAAGTCTTACAATCAAGACATGGTATCTAGGGGTAATGGCAGCTGGACTGTATACCACAGTATGGGAAATAAGGTACATCAGTTTATCCCCCCCATCATGTTGCCCAGTCAGCATCACCTACTGTAACTCATTGACTTTTCTAAAGCAAAATAAGTGGATTTTTTTCCATCTAATGACTATCAATGTTTTTTTTTAACATTATCCCTGCATTTAGTAAATGGAATGAAACCAGCAACATAATCCAAGAAATTCACTGACAGTCTGGTAACTTTTACTTATTATTTCTTCTTTTGTAAAACATAGGAGAGTTGTTAGGCTTTAAGGAGGCTTTACCTGTTAAACAAAAAAAAATGACAGGATGAGAGAAGACAGATAGAGCTGCAGGCTAAATGAGGAAGGACAGATATTGAAGAATGTAGACTGATATACTGAGATTCTTCAGTGCTGACGGGCCAATTACTTGTTGCAAATGAGGGAGAGAGGAATGCGAGCCTGTTTGTGTGGGGGGTTTAAACCACAATAGTGCTGAGAGTTTGAGTGAAACAACATGGGGCTTTAAAGAGGAAAGGCAGACAGTTTGGAAACCATGAGGGAAATTTTGAGGCAGTGCAGATGGCTAAGACATGTGTTTACCAGTGAATTTTTACCTAAAAGCTAAACTGTCAGATGAATTCCCCAGACATTCCAGATGCATTCAGGCACATAAAGGTCCTTTAAAAAAATATACAGCAGGTAAAGCTGCCAATAACATTGCATCATTTATTTTATGCATACCAACAACAAGATGGAATATCTTCACAAAAACAACACTACATGCTTTGCTATGTTTGTTTTAGTTTGAACATGAAGACATTTACAAACATTTGATGATAATGATACCGTCACTGTAAAGAAAATACTGTATCCACTCCACTTATGGTGGTAAAATAAAAGCAAAGATGTAAATCTTATACCTTTTTACATGTGTTATGTTCAGGTGTCAAATGGCCATGTTAAAAATTAATGGGTAGAAAACAGATACATCCAAAAAAGATGGCTGAATATCTGTTGAATTACCCAGTGAGAACTTAAGAAGGCCTTAATGGTGGATGCACAGAGAAATTTTCTTTAAAAAGGCTAAAACTACCAGAGAAATAATACAAAGTACAATCAAATCTATAAGGATATTATTTAACATTTAAGTATTAACATTAAAACATTAAAAGCTACTTATAAAGTTATACTTTTTATTTGTGTGGTGGTAGTTTTCAGTGTTTATGTAACATTTTGTTGTGTGCTTTTACTTTGAAATGCCTGTGCTTTTGTGTGTGCTGCATCCTTTAGAGGCTGGCCTTTGTGTCATGATTTCATTTGATAATTGATAAATAATCACCGACCTGTTCTGTTTATAAACCTGTTTGTCCATTTCAATCTGTAGGGCATACTGAAGGGTGTTTGTCAAATTCTGCTGGCTGGTTAAAGAGTTAGGAAGTCAGAGTTGCTAAGCTTTATGCCCACATTACATTTTGGTTTTTGAAGTACCTTGCTAAAGTGTATGTGACTATGTAGTGGCCATATTGGAAGACCAGCTGCTTGTATTTCTAAAGGTAAAAACTCTGTCATCCCAACACTTTACAGCGGTCACATGTGCAAGCTTGTTAGCTAACCATTGTAAGCTAGCAAGCTACTAGCTTCTTAGCTAGTGTTCATAAACCTATCTTAGCTTAGTGATCATAAACTGAGCTACTAGCTTGTTAGCTAGTAGTTTAGACAAACAAATGCTAATAGTACTGTAGCTAGCAGCTGCATATTCTTGTAACACAATTAGTAGGACCAGTGTCTCCACATTACATTGGCCTGTTGTTCCCAAAATGTAGTAACACCATGTATGATTGTTTTAAGCTTTTGTCAGCAGACATTCCAAATGCTTTCTCTCAGACTAAGGAGTGTACTGTAAATTGAGATGAGTATAGGTGGAAAGTAAAGTTGTTGTTTTAAACCCAACAACAAAACAAACAAGTCCCCTTAAATTTATCTGGTGACCCCTTGGAGGGACCCAACCCCAAGATTGTGAACCAAAGGACTAAAACTACCTATAGCCACTTCAAACAGCTACTACAGTAAAATGCTGCTTATGCATTAATGCATCAGTTTTAGTGACATTCTGAAACTTTGTGTTTCAGTCACAATGGTCAGTTTTCTACACAGTGATTACTTTACTATAATGCTTTTAATTAGGTAAATGTATTTAATATTTTCCTACTTTTACTTGAGCAGGATTTTGAATGCAGGGCTTTTACTTGTAATTTTAAAATGCAGTGTAGTAGTGGTAGCTTACTTAAAGAAAGCATCTGACTTCTTGCACTACTGAGTAGATGTTATTTGTGCTTATATTTTTCTGACCAACATTTCTTAAGGCTTTTCTATGTGGATTAATTTTTTTTTCACCTGTATATTAAAAATAGATTATCCTTTAATAGCTAGTGCCAAAAACTATTGGGCTGTGCTGTTCAAACCTAAACTTGTATAACTTCATGATCAAGTCCATCCAGTTAGAGCAATAATTAATTGGCTTACATTCAGATCAGGTCAACTCCTGTCAGGTACAGTATGTTTTGTTGTCATATCTAGGCAACTGTTACATAAACAACAGTCAAACTGCACTTGGTCTATACATCCAAATGTCCTATATGCCAAACTTTAAGTCAGAATCTCCAGCCCAGTGGGTCTTTAAAAAACATGAGCTCTTAGTTCTAGACTTCGACCTGCAGCCAGTGTGTCACTGAACAAATGTTTTAAAGCTTTTTATTGGATTAGTCCACTCAAAGAGCAGCAGGCTGGTCAATGGTCTACTCGGACTGATGGCTAATAACATTATCTTGTGTGGGCCGGGATTGGCAGACATCAGCGAACAGAGCTATCCTACCATTGATCAACTCTCCCCCTCCAGGGCTGCTCTGATGCTACCTTCCATCCACTCTTTCATTTGTTTATGAAATATTGATATTGGCTGCTCTCTCCTCTTGGAGACGAGGAGATTCACTTTGATGGAAGGAAGAACATTTGGGAATGCTGGAAAAAGATTTAGTGTTTCAATCAGTTTTTTTAATTGAATGCATCATGGCTTTTTTGTGCCTGATTTCCTCCATTAAAACTTTACAGTATTTAAGCCTGAGCCAAGAGTAGCAGCAGAGAAAAGAGAGATGCATACTCTACCTGCTTCATGTACATTATCTGCTAAATGATAAAAATCAGGATCAAGGTGATCCATGTAACTCTTTGAGCCCTTACATTTTCACAAGGTAAAGAAGCATCAAAGTGAATAAGCAAAAAACATAAAATAACAAAAAAAAGCAATATAGATTTTTCACACTTAAATTCCTCATCTTGGCAAAAATGCTTTAAAATTGCTATTAAGAAGGCCCATAAAAAAAGACTGACAAGATCTGTATGTTGATAGCGCCCTCTGTCTGTAGACCACCTCTGGTACCATTTTCCCACCAGATTTCAGTTTTACATTTGGAAAACTTTACTTTAACCTGACCTTAACCGCAGAACAAGCAAAGTCTGGCTCCTGCAGTACATCCTGTCAGTAAACAGATGCTTCAGACTTCCCATAATGATAGTCAGGATTGACGGGCTACCATAGCCAGAGCCTTTTATGTAGGGGAAGAGTCTCTCAGATCAATAGTTGTTACCTAGGCAAAGCCCACACAACCACTAATAAATCCACTGGCTCACAGTGCAGGCTGCCACTGCTCTCCATGTCTACACAGGAGAAAAACCTCAGTAATCCTCAGTCCTCCTGGTAAAAATCTTCAATTTAACATCCAGCACACTGAATTAAAAATGAGCTGAAGGGTGAGTTTCATTTTAATTCACTGTAAAGGGAAATCTATTGTAAACGATGAGCGAGTTGTTGTCCAGCAGCAGGTGTCACACAGCAGTGAGTTTCCGGTTGTGTTTGTCATGTTGTGTTGCGACATTTCAGTGGTCTGCTCCCTGGGACTGGTTCTTTGATGAGTTTGAGCTGCTGTCTGGCACACCCATCTGTCTGCTGTCTGCTTCATGTTTTCTGTTTTCACAACGTGGGATTAAAGCACTGATATATCACAGGTGGTAAAGCATGTTAGTAAGCTACCTATCTAGGATTTCTAATTATGAAAAGGTGACAGGTGCAGTGTTGTGTGTTACTATTCAATCCATACGTAATTGGACGGTGACACATTTTCCATTGTTCTGGTTGTGTATCTGTTTAGAATGAGTCAATGAGTGTAGAGTTCTACGTTTAAGGCTGTTCACATTAAATTAAGAGGGTAGATCTTGTACTGTAAGCATCTACACAATCACGTTTCCCTCATTACTATAAAGAATCCAATCATGTAATCACTAAAAATACAAATGGGATTATGATGACAGTCACTGGATATTAGTAGAAATGAGATGTTCTACTGGATAAAGTTTGTCTTTACTGTAATTAAAAAGTCTAATAATTTTTGGATTAAAATGTATTGCATGTGCAAATTTGTCTTTGACACACTTTTCATAAGCAATGCTGCACAGACAGAAACCTCAGATGGTTCAACACAGGCCTCTGCTTCCTGCACTGTGATGTGTATTACAGATAACACTCGATGGATCCTGACAGGCTTGATTTACGGCCGAGTCTGAGCAGCTAAAGACCCTCCAGATCCACTGAGATATGAAATAAAGGCCAGCTCCACCTGCGCTGCACCTACAGCACCAGGCATTTTGGCTGACTCCATCCTGCTAAGCCAAGCACTTTGCTGCTCGTTTGCAGGATATTAACTCAGCCAAAGGTTATTCATAGACTATCAAACAGAGCTATGGTCAGGAAATGCTGACTTATGTCTAAATATCAATTAAATTAGTCCCTGTTGCTGAGGGTGCACTGCCTCGTTTTAATGGACACACTCACGGTGCTGCGTAAATCACACTTGTACAGGGAAAG